GGCGCCCTCCAAACCCGGAAGTGCATCCGACCCTCAACCCTCTGTCCCCCTGCTGGCTGGGGGCAATGACAATGAGCTCCTGAAGCCCAGAGCGCCCCATGCAGCTTCTGAGAGAGGCAGGAACCTGTTGGAATAATGAGCCGCAGAACGTTCCGGCCCGTTCCGAGCCCAGGAGCTGGCTGTGCCCGCGTGGGAAGGAGAGAAATCTCTGGAATAACAATTTTCTCCCACAAACAAATCGACCTGTCTTGTTTTCCTGTCGCTCGGCAGCGGGAACAGGTCAGGCCGACCCTGGTGAATATTTGATTAAGGAGCAAATTGCTTGAGGAACAGGATGAATCCACTCAGGCAGCGCGGCTCAAAGCGGCCCCTTAGCCAGGCCTGCCGACAGGCGAGCAGCTGTTCTTGTCCAACTCGTAAACAAGCTGTTCTTGTACCTGATAAATACAGACTCTGCCGCAGCCGGTAAAGCTCGGCAGAGCTGAGACAGAGGGACACACGCAGTGTGGAGGCGGCTGGCGGCTCGGGAGGGCGGCCCTGGGGAGCGTGGCAGAGAGCCTGGTTCTAGTTCGGAGCCCCTCCCCCTGACTCCTGGGACAGGCCCCAGCTGGCGTCCCCCGCCCTGGTCCTTTCGGCTGAGGCTGAGCGACTGGACGCCTCCTGGTGGCCTGGCCTCGGAGGCGCGAGTGTGGTTCTGGGCTGGTCTCTGTTGCACCAGTTCCCAGTCTTTGGGTCCCTACTGCCGTCTGTGCCAGGACAGCCTCCTCTCCCGAGCTGGGGTGTCTCTGAGCCCTCCCGGTCCTTCCCCGCCCCCCTCTGTCTGCGGGGAGAGACGGGGCTTCCTTCTGTGACGGGTGGCAAGGAACGTGCCCACCTGAGGCCACCCCCTATGCTGTCCGCTGGCCCTGGGCACAGGCACAGGTGTCTTTTAAGGAAGTGGGTCTGGAGGGGGGGTCACTCCCCTGCCTGGGCCCCAGCTGTGTGGCCACAGCCTGACATTATCTGCTGCAGCGGGAGAGAGCATGTCTGGTGAGAAGGGGCAGCTGGGCATCCCCGGGTGTGGAGACAGAGGGCCCCAGGCAGGTGAGGGTCCGTCCTGTTGCCCCTTTCTTGCCCACACAGTCGCTGCCCACGCGGTTCTGGGCGCTGGGCTCTGCACAGCAGCGCTGTACCCGTTCATAGGGCAGCTGGCCTGGGAGATCCTCGTGCCCCTCAGGGAGCAGCACCCACTGCAGGGTGGGGCGGGAGGGAGAGAGACCTGCACTTGGAGCCTCCAGATCCCAGGGAGCAGAGAGGGTCCCCCGGTCCGGCTTGTGGGTGCCCCTCCCCCACACCACCTCAGGGTTGAGGGGACGGGTCTCCAGAACCAGGGGACAGAGTCCATCTCCCACTCATTTTGTGTCTCTGATTCTGGAATTTTGGCCACCCACGGGGATGGTCTGCCGTGCTCCCGGCTCTGTGCTCAGGGTTCCCTCCTGGTGGGATCGGGGCCCCCATGTGGGAGGAACTCAGGCCAGTGTCCACCAGAGCTTGGGAGAAGCTGGTTCAGATCCCCTCTTGGCCGTGTCCCCAGCTGTGCTGGACTCGGGGGTCAATGCAGAAACCAACTCTGCCAAGGAAAGAGGGTGGGGACACGCAGACACGGTCGCCGTGCTCAGGACAGCCACCCTGGCCCTCCCCAGGGGCCTCTCGGGGCTGTACCCCAGGACTGTTGCATGAGATAGCATAGAGTCTGGCCCCTCTCAGAGCCGAGCAGTGCAATCCAGGGAAACACACTTCCCACTTGGAGCCTCGGGAGATCTGGGGGTCAGGGCACACCCTCTGCCTCTCACAGCTATGCCCCAGGGGCTGGGAGGCCACTGGAGGGCAGAGCCCCTGTATGGGCACCGAGGAGGGCCGGCGGTCACCGTCCTGGGCAGCAGCCACGGGAAGGAGCACGGGCAGAACCATGGACAGAGGCGCAGGCTGCTGCCAGCTGGCAGGGAGGGTTCCCGGGCTGGACGGCCCGCCTGCCCAGAGCAGCTGCAGAGAAGGACGGGAACCAGGCTGGACCCAGCTCAGGAGCCCCACGGGGGTCTCATGAACTGGGTGGCCAGGCCTGTCTGTGTGTCCCCACACCCTGCCCTGAGCCCTGGCCGTGGACGCCCTGGCCCCCAGCAGCGCCCCTTCCTCTCGTCCGCCCACCTGCCCACTGCCCCCTGCAAACCCGCCCTGAGCAGAGCGTTGATGGGTTTGCTGCTCCCTCAGTGCGAGAGGAAGGTCAAGCCCAGCGCCCAAGCGCCTGTCATCCCTGATCTTGCTTGTCCTCATGCTAGCTTCACCCAGATCCACCCCGAGGCACACCACCCGCATGGGGGACCCACAGGCTGGAGGCTCCCGGCCCCCATGGGACCCTGGCAACCCTCGGCTCTGCCTGACTCCATGCAGATGGGGTCGTGCACGGCGCCTGGGGAAGGATCTCCCACTGGCAGGGAGTGGTCATGGGCCATCCACGGGTGTAGCTAGCTGGCGGGGAAGCCCCGAATCGGGACACGCCCACGCGGTGTAGACGCACCCAGAGCACCACATGCTCAGCTCCGCCCTAGGGGAGCACTCCCCCATCCTCAACACCCACACCTTCCGCACCCTCCTGGGGCAGCCAAGAGCAGGGGGGTTGGCCGGGATGTGACCACCCATCCCGCTCATGCAGTCTCCGCTGCTGCCCGAGCACTGGGCCACAGGAGCAGGAAATACCCACAACTCCTCCCCTCCCTTCCTCTCCTCCTTCTCCTCCTCCTCTCCTCCTCATCCCCTCCCCCTCGTCCTCCTCCCCTTTCCTCCTCCTCCCCTCCTCCCCTCCCCTTCATCTGCCTTCCCTCCTACTCCTCCTCCTCTTCCTCCTCCCCCTACCCTCCTTCTCTCCTTTCCTCCCCATCCTCCTCCTCATCCCTCTCTTCCTCCTCCTCCTCCTCTTCCTCCTTCGACTTCTCCTCCTTATTCTCCTCCTCCCTCTCTTACTCCCCCTCCTCCTCCCTGTCCTCCTCCTCTTCATCCTCCTCCCTCTCTTCCTCCTCCCCTCCTCTTTTTTCCTCTTTCCTCCCTCTCCTCCTCCCCCTCTTCCTCCTCCCTCTTCTTCTCCCCATTCCTCTCCTCCTCCTCCCTCTCCTCCTCTTCCCTCTCCTCCTCCTCTCTCTCCCATTCCCACTTTTCTTCCTTCCTCTTTTCTTTCCCTCCTTCTTCCTCTCACCCTCATGCCCTTCGTCCCATGCCTCCTGCTCCTGCTCCTCCTCCTCCTCCTCCTCCTCTTCATGTGCCTCCCTTGGTGCCATTTGCCCTCCATGTGCCTGGCTTCTCTGCTGGGGGCCCCCACCAGGCTCCCCTCCCCCGTCCCTCCTGCTGGGTCTGCAGCAGATACGTCGGGCTGGGCACGTCCTTCCTCTTTGCCCAGAGGACATTCCTTGTAGACAATGCTGAGTTGGTGCCTCAGTCTTTGGGTAAAGCACAAAGACAGTGGAGCAGAGAGTGAGTTCGCTCAGGGGATAAAAGGGCCACAAGCACCCGTGCTTCCAGGACGGGAATCAAACCCAAAACACCCAAGGCCACCGCGGCCCTTGGAAGCACATCTGCCCCTCTCTCTTCCTCCTCCTCCTCCTCTTCTTCCTCCTCTTCCTCCTCCTCTTCCTCCTCCTCCTCCTCCTCTCCCCACCCTCCTCTATCTTCTCCCCTTTAGGACCATCAGTGCAGAAGGAAAATTCTCACAACTGTATTTCTTAAACAGGTGATTGAGTTTGGAAAGGCAGTTCTGAAAACACTCATGAGGATTAGAGAGAGGTCTGAATCTCCGGCTCAGCCGACATCCCCTGGTTACCGCCGGGACCAAGCACTGAGCACTGCCGGGTGTGGCCCCCAAATACAAATAGATGGCCATGAGTAGGGAATAAATGCTGCCCTCTTTTTTTTAATTTTTATTAGTGAGACACCATGAGGTACAGTTGTAGACTTAAAAATTGTTGTGCTTGGGTTTCAATTACACAATGATCAAATACCCATCCCTCCACCAGTGCCCATTTCCCACCACCACGGATCCCAGTATCCCTCCCACCCCCCATCCCCCAATTCCACCCTGCCTATGTGGCAGGGCATTCCCTTCTGTTCTCTCTCTCCTTTAGGGTGTTGTGGTCTGCAAAAGAGGCATTGAGTGGCAGTCATGTTCAGACAATAGTCTACTTTCAGCATGCTTCTCCCATCCTGGGAGGATCCTCCCAACACCCTTTATTTGGTGCTCCCTTCTCTATCTGAGCTGCCTTTTCGCCTAGCATGTGTGGCTGGCCTCCAAGCCATGGAGTAAACCTCCTGGTACTAATCTAGGTATTCTTGGGTGTTAGTCTCCTATTTTGTTACTTTATGGTCCCCAGATGAATGCAGTCTTTCTATGTCTATCCCTCTCTTTCTGACTCATTTCGCTTAACATGATACTTTCCATGTAGTACCACTTGTATATAAATTTCATGACTTCATCTTTTCTAACAGCTGCATAGTACTCCATTGTGTAGGCGTACCAAAGTTTCTTTAACCAGTCATCTGTTCTCGGGCACTCTGGTAAATGCTGCCCTCTTAAGACGATGTCTCCCGTCTGCCTGGGAGAGTCTCAGTAGCCCATCTCAGCTCGGGGAGGCACCTCTCGTCTTCTCCATGACTTCTGTGTGACTGACTGCTCGCTCTACGGACCCAGCAGCGTCACAGTTTCTTCCCCAGGGGAGTCCAGGAAGCCCGGGGCGTGAAAGTGGTTCTCCAGAGCCTTCTCAGCTGGGCAGGGCCACATCCGCTGCCGCTCTGGCTTCCTCCTGGCTCTGTCCTGGGCCCGCTCTGGTGGGGCCCAGAGGACCGGATGGGTGTGGGCCTGGGTGTTGACCTTGCACTTTGCACCACTCCAGGAGAGGAGAGATGCAGACGAGGGCTCCTGCAGCCCGGGAGGATCACCCCGTGCTCCCTCCCCTCACGCCTCATCTGCTCTTCCCCAGGTACCAGCCCCTGGCCACCGCCTTCCTGGGAGACAGGCCGCCGCCCACCGCTGCACCCCGGGACTCCTGTGGGCGCCTCCTGCAGCTCTGCAGGCTGCACGGCTGGCAGGTGAGTGTCACGCCCACCTGACTCCACAGCCAGGCGCCAGGCGATCAGAGGCCTGGGCTCCCCATGAGTGTCACAACCCCTCATCCGGGCACCAGGCAGTCCGAAGCCTGGGTTTGGCCCCTCTCAGAGGCAGGGGCGGCATCCTGGGCCCTGCAGTGGCCTTGGGCTGGTGTGACCTGGGCCTTGGGCATGGCTGTGGGCTCAGGGCGCCCAGTCTTCTGGGAGGAAGACACACCCTGGATACTTCTCTCCAGTGCTGGATGGAAGAGACAGGCCCCAAAGGAGGGCAGGCTCTGCCCCAGGCGCCAGCTGCTTGGCCAGCTGAGGTCTCTGCAGGGCCTCCTTCGTGTCCAGGCGCTTTCCTTCGACCCAGGCCCGCCCCCCCAGACCAGGCTGCCTCTGCCCCCAGCACAGTGGGACTCCCCAAGCTGTGCCCACTGCCCTCTAGCCCCGGGGTCATGGCTCGAGCCTGTCGTGTCCACTCTGGGCTTGCTCTGTTCTCTGTCACTGGGCTTGGGGCCATGGTCAGTGGCTGCCACTGTCTGGCTTGGCTGGCTTCTCCAGGCACGAGTGTGTCAGTGTGTGTGTGAGTGTATGTGAGTATAGGTGAGTGCATGTGAGAGCGTGTGAGAGTGAGTGTGTGTGTCTGTGTGTGAGTATGCATGAGTTTGTATGTGAATGTGTCTGTGTATGTGAGTGTGTGCATGTGTGTGAGTATGTTGAGTGTGAGAGTGTGTGTCAGTGTGTATCAGTGTGTTTGTGAGTTTGTGTGTCTGTGTGTATGAGTCTGTGTGTCTGTCCATGTGTGTTTGCATGTGTACGAGGGTATGCGTGTTTGTGTGTGTATGAGTGTGTGTCTTTGTGAGTGTGTGTGAATATGTCAGCGTGTGTCAATGTGTGTGTGTCTGTGTGAGTCTGTCTGTGTGTGTCAATGTGTCAGTGTGTGTGTCTATGTGTCAGTGTGTCTGTGTGTGAGTGTGTCAGTGTGTGTATCTGTGTGCCTGTGTGCGTGTCTGTGTGTGTGTTGTCGGGGTGGTTGAGAATTGCCACTTCCTGCCCTCCGGGCACTGGGAAGTGTCCAGAGAAGCTCGCCCATGGGTGGAGTGTGGGGATGCAGAGGAAGGGCCTGGGCTGGGGTCCCTCTCTCCTGCACCCCAGCCCGGCCAGCCCACGCTCGATTTTGAGGGAGGGCGTCCTTTGCAGTGGGTGAAACTAAAAGGGCCTCAATCAAGGGTCACTCACCTGGCAGGCCTGCCCGGCCCCTGGCATCCTACCAGAGGTCCAGCAAACATCCCCCAGAGACTCCACGGCCACTCACTGAGGGCCTGAAGGAGCTGGTGGCCTGGCTGGGTCTCACAGGGGCGGGCAACAGGGTCCTTCCAGGAGGGCGTGTGTCTGGCCCGAGAAGCACATGGGACATGCGACATGCGGGGCCTGGGTCGGGGACGGGGGGAGGCGAGTCCCTTGGCCATGTCCGGCCCAGGCTTGGAGGTGGGTCCTGCTCAGTGCCGGCAGGGCCGGGCCTCCGAGACGACTCCTCTGGCCCCCGAGGATGCTGGCTGCAGCCCACACAGCCGAGGAGCAGCTGGAACAGGCAGCGTGAATCAGCCCCATTGTCTGGGCCCTCTGCCTCCCCGGAACTGAGACTCGAGCTGAACTTTAGCAGGAGGAGGAGGCTTCCGCCTGCTCCCCGCCCCAGCCCTGGCACCCGAGAGGGCTGGAGGGAGGGGGCGGGAGGGACCGCGGGGGGTGGGAGTGGGGGGGCCCACTCGCGGCCGTGACATCAACCGGGGGCTCGTCGGAGCAGGGCCGCCTTGCTGCGGGCTGAGTCACAGGGCTGAGTCAGCACCGGAATTCTAAAGTGGGCTCTGCCGCGTAGCGGCTCTGCCACGGTGCGGGGCCGTGGGTGGCCGGGAGCTGGTGCCGGAGAGCTGCGACTCCCTGCTCCTGCGAGGAGAGACTCAGGGCTCACTTGGACTCACTGGCTGCGGGTGTCCAAGGGGTCTGCAGGGGCTCAGAAGCACGGTGATGGGAGAATGGAGAAGGGCCCTCACATCTCTGGGCTGACCCCCTACCCAAACTCTCTACTGTCCAGAGGGGCTCCAGGGCCAGGAGCCACAGAGAAGCACGTTCATCTGGAGCGTGTTGGGGTCTGTGTCCATGCCCAAGGGGAGGGGGGACAGACCCTTCCTCAGCCTCTCCCAAGGCCGACAGGGACCCTGGATGCAGCAGTGGGTCTCACTCGGTTTTCGTGTCACTCGGGCAGCTGAGCGGCTCTCACAGTCAAGACTCCTGATGGAAGCCCAGCAGGGCGGGCGGGGGGAGGGGGGAAGGTTGCAGGGCTGCGGGGGTCCGGGTCAGCTTGTGTGGGCGGTGGAGAAGCCGGGCGGTCTGTCGCCCTGGGACTGCAAGGCTGTGGGCTCTGCAATGGGTCCATGGGGGCTACAGAGTTGATGGGGACCGTGCGCGGGGCCACAGGGCTGTGTGGGTCAGTGGTCAGGTCTGTGATCGCCATACCAGGAGACAGTGGATTAGTGTCATTTTTCTCTATGTAGCCTGTATGGAGTGTCAACCGGAAATATGGATCTGTCTATTCAAAACCAGTCCTCTTGTGTCACAGACAGGCCCTGGGCTGTGAGATTTTGGCACTGGATTTTGGGGGGGCTCTGGGCCACAGCCACAGTGCTGGGGGTTACTCGGGCTCTGCGCTCAGGAGGGGAACTCCCTGTTTAGAGTCCGTTTCCACTCTCAATTCTAGCCCAACCCCGTCTCTGTGCAGAGAAGAGACATGTCAGCAGGTGAGGGAGTCAGCCTCGCTTTGGACAGCAGGAAGTAGCCTGGGTCAGGACACCTGTGCAGGTAGAGGTCGAACCTCTGTGCAGTGTCAGAGCTGGGCTGGGTTTGGCAGATACTCTCCCTCTGCCTGTTCCCTGCATCACACAGGCCTGGCTTTCAGGGGACTCATCTAGTGTCATCGTGTTCCAAAGGTAGAGCTTAAAGGCGTGAAGCGGCTAAACAGGGGATCATGGACCAGGGGCTCTAGCGCATGCCCTCATTCATCCGATAGATTGCTTTCGTTCCGTGTTCTCCACGTTCTCACCAGCCCGGTAGGTGAAGGGCAGAGAAGCCCAGGACCTGCCTGTCCCGATCCTCTGCCACCAAGTGTTGACTCGCCCGGAGCTGTCAGATTCCCCTGTCCGGGGGGTGGGGGGAGAGCAGAGACAGGGCATTATATGCCATCGGGCCAGCTGCTGGCTACCAGTGGGGGGTCTGAGCCTGGTGCCTCCATGCGACTCTGCCTGCCAAGGGAGTCACAGGGGAGACGCGGCCAGCCAGAGGACGGAGATGATAGTGGCGGTGGCCGCTTGAGTCCAGGGGCTTGGGAGCTGTCTGTGCAGCTCTGGGGGAGATGGTCGTCTGCTCCCTCGGTCTCTGTGGAGTGAGGTAGTATCTCTTTGTTGATTTGCACATCCCTGATTACTAGTAATATAGAACATTTTTATATGCCTTTTAGTCATTTTGTGTTTCTTCTTTGGGGAAGTTTCTGTTCATCTCTTCTTATTTTTTGATGAGGTAGGATGTTTTTTCCTTGTGAAGTTCTGCCAGTGCTTTATATAGCTTGGATATTAACCCTTTATCTGCTGTGTGGAGTGCAAATAATTTCTCCTAGTCTGTGGGATGTCTTTTTATTCCTTTGAGGTGCAGAAATGTCTTGATTTAATGCAACCCCATTTATCTTTGCTTCAACTTGCCTGGTCAGTGGCATTTCATCTTTAAAGATGCTTCTAGCTTCAGTGTCGTGGAGAGTTCTGTCTATGTTTTCCTCTGTGTGCCTTAGAGATTCAGGTCTGATATCAAGGTCTTTAGTACATTTTTACTTTTTTATGGCATTAGAGTTCTGAGTTTTGGTGTGTTTTTTTTTCCATGTGACTGACCAGTTTTTCCAGCAACACTTGTTAAAGAGGCTTTTCTTGATTCACTTCATATTATTTTGCTCCTGTATTGAAGATTATTAACTTGTCATATACCTGAGGGTCTGTCTCTGATTTTCAGTTATATTCCATTGATTCGTGATTCTTATCTTTTTTTCTAGTACCACACACTGTTTTAATTACTACCACTCTGTAGAACAGTTTGAAGTTGGGGGAAGTGGTGCCTCCCATCTTCTTTTGTTCTGAGGATTGCTTTAGCTATTCTGAATGAGGGTATTGTTCCATGTGAAGTTCAGGAGTGTTTAATCTTTAAAAAGAAAAAATGACATGAGTCTCCCCATAGGGACTGCACCAAATCTGAATAGTGCTCTGAGGAATATTGTGATTTTAACAATGTTAATCCTCCCAATCCATGAGCAGGGGACGTACTTCCATTTCCTGGTATTCTCTTTTATTTCTTAAAGTAATTTTTTAAAATAATTTTCTTTGTAAAAAGTTTTCCACATCTTTAGTTAATCCCATTCTTAGGTACTTGATTTTCTGAGGCATAATTGTAAATGAATTTTTTTAAATCTCTCTCTCTTCTATTTCATTATTTGTGTATTGAAAAGCCATGGAGTTTTGCTGTTAATTTTGTAGCCTGCCACTTTGCTACACAAGCATTATTTCTAGGAACTTTTGGGGGAAAGTCTTTAGAGATTTCTAAACATAGTGTCATGTCATCCACAAATAGTAAAAACATCAAGCTTTTACTTCCTTTCTTTACTTCCTTTTTCTTCCTTTCCTATATAAATTCTCTTAATATCTTTTTTCTTGCTTAATTGCTATGGCAAGTACTTCCAGTACTATATTGAATATAAGAAGTGAGTGAGAAGCCTTGTTTTGTGCCATGTTTCGGAGGGAAGGCTTTTAGTTTTCCCCCATTGAATATGTTTGCTGTGGGCTTTGGGTTAATGGTTTTGACTATGTTGAGAAAAGTTCCTTCAATTTCCATTTCATTTTTTACCCTGAGTGGGTGCTGCATCTTGTCCAATGTTTCCTCTGTGTCTATTGATATGATAATATGAT